AACTTGAAAAGCAGAAATTTTAAGGTGATGTTTTCTGACAGTCCTGATGGCCAGTCTCAATTCTTTTAGCTAGAAGCATGTGCCGGAAAAAACAGTGCCGTTAGCGACAAAAACCTGTAGGGAACTGTGCAAAAAATGCATTTTTGAATCGGTAGTCGGTGCGCTGGCCTTAGTTTTTAGAGGAGTAGGATCCAAACAAAATAAAAGGAATAAAAAAAAAAATCTTACGTTTCAGCCACACGACTACGGCCATTGAAGACAGCATAGTGTAGTGGTGTATAGCCGACCGAACAACGACTATCAATCGGTATCGTGGTTTTTTCCAGGACAAAATTCACCGTATCCATATCCCCAGAGAGGGCCGCATAATGCAGCACTGTTCGGATGTGCTGATCACGCAAACGTAAATCAACACCGTTCGCAGCTAGTAACTTCAACACTTCGCTATGTCCACTGAGAGCTGCCCAATGGGCTGCTGTCATGCCCTGTTTGTTTCTGAAAAATGGGCAAAAAATTGAGAAAAAAAACTATGAAAAACCATGAAACTGAGGAAAAATCATGAAAAAAAAAAAAAAAACAAGAAATGAGAAAAAAGAAACCATGAAAATCTACAGTTGAAAGATAAGCCTAAACAAACACATTTTCTTTTAAATTTTGTTTGTTTCCCATCCAAGATATATTCCACCGATGCCAAGAACTGGCAAAGCTCAAGATAAGGACATAGAGTACCATCGTGAAAATGCAGTGGTTCTTGCCTTGTCTGTTTTATGAAATCGCTTGCCCGTAAATAAAGTTTTGCATAAATTCTTCTAGGCGTCTAAACATGGGATGCAGACATAACTGAGTGATGATTCTAAAGATGGAGCATCGCAAAGGTGTTAGCGTGCGCAATCGGCTTGCTTGTAAGCAACTCTTGAAAGAGGGAGCTATTGACAATCTTGCCAACGAGTGGTTGCATTTGGCATTTACTGCCACTCCGGCTATGCTGAGCTGATTATCGCATGATTGTAGCATGAAAGTAATATGAAGAACTTAAAAAAGAAGGCAAGAACAGAACGAACTATGTAATGCAAGATGTAGGAATATCGATGGTACAGGAAAAATAAGTACGAGAGAGTCAAGACGTTTCGGTCCATGAAATGATATATCTCAAGTGTCTGCGCCTTTCATTGACAGCGAATAAGGAAAGGGTTTTTGACTTTTGACTTTCTGGCGTGGTGTTTTAAAAATGAAACAGGTGCATTACCTGACATTCGGGCTGGCATTCGACTTTAGAAGGAGCTCAACAAAATCCCAGTTTCCATTAAAAGTAGCATAATGAAGTGGCGGGCAACCACCCCAATCTGGTCGATCTGAAACGAAAGAAAACATATGCACAATGTTTGTTTGGGCGTCGTATACGAAAAAACAAGAAAAAAGAACAATTACTCCCAAATTTATAAAAAATGACTTTTAACAGAAACTCCTTCCTCGACAAGCCTTTTTACTCTGATTAACGTTTTATTTTCGCTTCACTCAAAAGTAAAAATGTGCTAACTCTCTGAACAAATCGATTAAACAATGAAAATTTCGATAAAATTCCGTTAATTACTAGTTCCAAACTTGTTGCTAACGAAGCAGGGTGTTAACAACAAGGAAACGAAGCTGTCGGCCAAAACCCTTTCGCCTTGTCCAGCTGCCCTGCGATTTCATGTGTTATATAAATGTCCCGTCTCCTGACTCCAGTTCCCCCCTTACACACAATTTAACACATTTTTTAGTTAAAAAATATTAAAGTAGAAGATTAAGGAACCATAAGTCATAGATTATTCAGTAACACGAGAGAAGCCGCTGTATGTTTCATCTCTTAGCTGTAAACACTTTCATGAATTCTAACTCAGCTAATTCACGATGTGGTAGAGGCAAGTCTTGAGTGTTTCTTTATCTTCATAGGAGCAATCCAGGCGCTTCTTCAAATGGCTATCTCCATTATGTCATTACAGAACAAAGCAGAGTCCGATGGAGCAGGATATGTTGCTCGCCTTGCTGAAACTCGGTGCACCACAGGCACCGGTGACGTGTACGGCTCAGGACCCAGAGGTTTGGTACACCGAGGGGTTGCTGCACAGGATGTAGCACAACATCCAGATAATACTTGAATACTTGAGCAGCGATATGCCATCATCGACGTTCGTTGTCAAGACGCCATCGATACAGCACTGGCAATTTCTCCATTCAATTCGTTGTTGAGCTATCCGAGTCCACGTAGTAACGTACAGGCGTATCATGGGGTCTCTCCACCTCACTGGTGGCCTCCGCAGTGTTCGCTTAACCATGCGCAGGTACCATTCCATTATCCGCTTCGTCCATCTATTATTTGTCATCCGTGCCAATAAATATCGCTCGTAAACATAGGATCTTCACAATGCGATTATCTGAGAGTGCTTTAGCATTGATCCATATAAAAAAAAAATCACTTAAGTGATTTTAAGTGATTTTTTTAGTTTTATTTTTAATATTTATAATATTGAATCTTGTTTATTTTCTTTTTTTTTTTTGTTTTGTTAATAGTTTCTTTTATGATTTTTATGTATGGTTCTTTTCATACAAATCAATGCTAAACACGTAAAATGCTAAATTACGCGAAATTATAAGTTGGTAAAAAACGCTTACCAATTGA